TCTTAGCTCGGCTAATGCATCCTGGACCTTATCCCAGACAGGCTCAGTGAGAGTCTAACATTTTAGCTATATACTTCTCATATGGGTCTTCCTTGTGAAAATGACTGGGAATTCACACAGTTGCGAGGCTTATGTAATGTCTTTCTCTGAGCAGTCGGAGCCGTAGCATATGCCAGCTCTCAGGTTGCCTTTGGAGATCTTGAGTGCTCTGGACACACATGTTTGCTTTGGCAGATGACGTGTTTGTCCACATGGATTCTTGTCACAGAGGCTCCAGAAGGTGTAATGTAGCTCTTTGTTTAATTATGTGTGGTTACTGTGTGTGGCTAAAAACCAAACAGTTGATGTCACCTTTAAAACTGATGCGTAGAAGACAAATAAGACACAAAGGGAAGTTTAAGATAGGTCATCAAGTGGATGGAGCAATAGATGTTAGACTTAGATCTGTGCATTACCACTGTGAGGACAGAGCAGATACTATAGCACTAGATGTGGTGTGATCTCTCTGTTAAAAGACAGCAGCTAATTCTCTGTGTATGTGTGTGTGTCTGTCTGTCTGTCTTTGCCCATATACAACACAATAATTGAATATTTGCATGCAAAAATGGATATACCTAGAACATAGTACATGCTGGATATCAGTATATGTATATGCTTTTCTATATTTTCTAAATTGGAGAGGAATGCATAGTTACTATGTATTGAATTTTTTATTGCAAACAGCGTTCTCTAATTGTATCATCTATTTACTATCCCAAGCCAGTCTCTAATGATTCATGGTATAAAAATAAGTTATACATAGCTTTCCACTTGCCGTGCACAGCAGGGTAAGCAGCAAAGCTGGCCGTGGTGGGGAGTTTCCTTCTAATCATTCTGTTCCCAGCACAGCCATTAAGTGGAAGCTCTGCAGCCTTCAGAATGGGGGTAGCCTGAGGAGCAGGCTTCTCTTGCGCTTCCGTGCTTCTTCCCTGTGAGTCAGTCCACTCTCGGCCAGCCACGGTGCCTTCTCCGCTCCTTCATAAAATCTACTTTCATCGACATTTCCTTCCTTTGCAAAGAGAAATGTTATTGTGAGCACCACAGAAAGAGAGTGCATCAGCCAGCCGGTCCACAGTGGGCCAGGCTGGAAGCTGTTCCCTGCAGCTAGCTGGTGAAAGTCACAGTATCAGGTGCCGTGCAAATGATCAAGCCATACACTGGCCCTGCTTCTTTCTCACTCACCAAACTCCTTGCTCAAGCTGCTGTTTTTATAAGCCTATACGTATTATCCAAACCTTTTTTGTACGATTCCTTTTATCACAGGGACTGAGACAGAGTCAGCATGAGATCAGACCACCTTGGCTTTTCCTCTGGTTTAGTGTGCTCTGCTATCAGGCACGAAAGCTATGGTGTGAAAAAGAGTCACCACACAGTCCCAAAGTCTGAGTCCAAGCTTCCCATGTTCTTGGGTGTTTCCCAGAGATGGCAAATTCAGAAACTGCTGTGCGCTTGTCATTTTTATTGCAGAATTCATTAAGCTGCCATGCTATTATCTTCCCATCTTGTCAGGATGATGCATCACAGACTTCATTGCAAAACTCTGACAAGCAGAGGAGAGTGCACCTCTCTCCCAGCTATCGCACAAGAATGCCTCTGGGGCTGTGCCTGTGCCTCTGTTCCCTGTGTGGAACTCAGGGCTTCTGCATAGCTTCCATCTGGCAACTCCCTTTCCTCCTCATTTCATGTCTGAGCTTGGAAAGGGGAAGTAGGGCGGAGAGATTTGTCCTGTGAGGAATGGTGAGTCCTTCTTTTCAACCTCTAGTTTTGTGTTTTGGAAAAATGACATATTAGCCCAAATTTTGACAGACTTCTGCAGAGTGGGAAATATCTCTTAAAGTGGCGTAGGACTTTGTTTCGTGTTTACCTTTCAGTTCTGTGTGTTCAGAGGGCCAGGCAAGTTCAAGCCTGCCAAGGCCTGTGCGTTTGGCTTGGCTCTGGGTATCTGAGTCTTTGCCTGTGGGCTCTGTGATAAACAGATCCCGCCTCCTGTGCTGGATGGGGCTGCCATTAGAGTGAGTTGGAGCCACTTAGTAAATATGAAAAGTGCTGGAGCTTAGCCTCCATGTTTCCATGGCAACCTCCAGAACAAGTACAACATCACCAAAATTACTCTGCGGCTTTCCCTTTTTAGTTGCCGTGATTTGGTTGCACACTTGTGTTTTCCGCTCTTGATTTGTACAGAAAACATAAAGGCTGCCCACAGTCACCAGTGCTTTGGTTTCAAGGTCCCTGCCTGAAGCACCTGCAAAATTCAGTCCCACATAACTACCTCTCTCTGTTCCAGCAGAAGAACTTTTGATTGCATATTATTCTCTTCTACTTGTGATTTAATATGTGACCATTCATGGGACTTTGGTGTGCCGAAGGCATGGGCTATTTCTCAGGAAAGTATAGCGACCTCTGACCTCACAGGTCATTTCAATAGATACTGCGTGGCCAGGTAGCCTGTGCTTGCCCTTGGGTAGTTTATATCATTAAGGACTAAGTTTGTATATGCTGCCAAGTGCTTTAAAATATATTTTCATAAAAGCATCCAGCACATTCCTGACGCCTGTTTGTAACTGGCAATTTATTCCTCCATTTCCTCATTCCTGTGCTCTTGCTTTCGGTGACTGATATACAAAGAGGCATTCACTGACAGCAAGTTTGAGGAAGGCCAGCCTTCTCGGGGGGCCCAGCCAGCTCTGAACACCCCTGAGAGCTGCATTCTTTCTCCCTCTGTCACTCACATGGTCCTCTGTGATCCCATTGGCTTGACTCATAGCTGTTGCTGCTCTCCTCTGAAGTCCCCTAGCATGTAATCGTTTTCCCTCCAGCAGCTAGATGCTTCCATCCTCGCTTCTGATGGAGCTGCCAGAGCTGGCCTGTCATCCTGGGACTCAGATACTTAGCTCCCTTCTGTGAAGGTGTGGCTACTTTTCATTGGAGGAAGTCATCCCGCCTTCTGCTTTGCTCTCAGCAGCAAGTATTCATTTGCCCATAGGGGGAGGGATCTCCCGTCTTAAGTGACATTACTGAGTCATTTTCCCTTTATTTCTTAATTTATTCCAAATGCTTTAGAGTTTGTCTTGGTGTCGTTTGTTGTAAGCATTGAAACATGCAGTTTGCTTTTGATTTTGTTCCCCGACCCTTTCTTTGGATTAATCTTTATATTCCTCTCCACCTTCCTGCTTTTCCTCAGTCAAGACTGTCAACATATCAGAAAAGCTTGCACCTCGAAGTTTTCAACCTTCTCTTCTGTGGTATTTGGGGTAACAGGACTTATCCCTTCTGCTAGCATTGACTTCATTTTTTTTTTCAAGTGCTCACTGGTGTACAAGGCTGAAGTTTTTTTTTTTTTTTTCTTGGTAATAATCCCCACTCACTGGCTCTGGGTAGTCTGCCGGTTACACTCCTCCCTCCTCTGTTCTTCCCATCATCCCTTCCCTCCTCTCTTTCCTTTCCCTTTCTTCACTGTTGAGCCTCCTCTCCAGCCCCTGAAGAAAAGTGTTTTTAATGCTGTCATTTTTTTGTTGTCCAAAAGAGACTTGAGTTCATCTAAATAGTTCATCTCTAAATGAGTGCATCAGTGATGCCAATCTATCTCTCTGAGATCTAGCATGTCTTCATATACAAAGGCTCCAGAAGAGTTAACCGTTTATTTCATAACAAATGGAATAATGGCCAGCAGCACCAGTTGCTCTGTCCAGTGAGTCTGGAATGAGGGAAGGGGCGGACGTGCCAGGTCTGTAGCACGCTGCACCACCAGTGGTACCCTTGCCATTCAGCTGCATCATCCCCCAGGTCTTTCAGTTACTGCTTCCAAGGCTTTTAGATGAGAAGAAACAGAAAGCTCCTCTCTTTGAGCGGTATTCCAGTGTTTATAAAACACATTCCAGCATATGATCCCACTTGATCCTCACGACAGCTCACGAGCTGTACAGGGCGGTTCTCATTCTCCCCATTTCATAGATTCATTTGGACTCTGAGGTCAGAGGCTGCAGCAGTAGCTCAGAGGTTGCGAGCACTGGCTACTCTCATAGATAACCCAGTTCCCCGTGTACACATAAGTACTTACACCTGTCTCAGTGGGTGACTCCAGAGGCAGACAGATGTTTCTAGAGTGTGGCTACCGAGCTAGTCCATCTGAGTTCTAAGGAAGTCAGTGAGCACATTGATAGTCTGTGGTGATGTGCTGTGCATTTGGAGGTATGACTTGTCCTAAGAAGTTAGGGCAGTGTTAGAGGTAGGGGTTTTAGAAGAAAAGTGGCTGTCCTTACCATCTGTGAATCAAAAGAAGGCAGAGGTTAGGTGAAGTCATATGGTAGGGCTGTTTGAAGGAAAGAACCTGGCTCACACTAAAGGTATGTGTGTGTGTGTGTGTGTGTGTGTGTGTGTGTGTGTGTGTGTGTGGAGGGTACATCCCTTCAACCTGAGGAAGGACTTTGCTTTAAAATCCATGCGACCTGTTCCCCTTTGATCTTTCCTTTCCCACTCTTTCTTTATTTCGTTTTGTATTTATTTGGAGGGGGGTAGGGAGAAGGAGAAGGCAGTAGGGAGATTATATCTGTGGATATCTATGGATGCTTGCACAGTGTATTCTGTCCATTCACCACATGGGTTTCCAGGATTGGAACTTGATGGCAAGTGCGTTTGCTCATGGAGCTACCTCACTACCCCCACCCTCTGCCACTCTTAAACCCTGTCCTTTCCCATGTCCCGTTTTTATTGTTTGGTTGACTTGTTTGTTTTTGAGGCAGTCTTACACGAATAGCCCAATGGACTAATTAATTCTCCTGCCTCTGCCTTCTGAATATTAAGGATTCAAGTATGTGCTACTGTGTCTGGCCCCTGTGTACTTTTTCAAAGCTTCAGATATTCCAATTTAGTCTCCTTATTTGTAAATTCTTGTATGTGTGGGTGCAGCCTCTCCCTAGTCTGTTAGCATTCATATGGGCCTTTTTGTCGTTTCTTCTCTTCAGAGGAGCAAAGGAACAGCATCATCAACTCCAGTTTGGAATCGGTCTCCTCAAGTGCAAACAGCATCCCTAATTCTAACAGCAGCCTGCAGCCTAATATGAACTCCAGTGACCCAAACTTGGATGTGGTCAAACCTACTCGACCCAATTCACTGTAAGTATGGTAGACCCTGTCTGCTTCCCACTGGCCCTGAATTATCCATTCTGCCAGAATGTCTCTGGAGCAACCTGACTTTGGGTCATTGTTCCATGACCATGATTCCAACCGTCTCCCTGAACTTGGAACTTGACAGATTGGTTGCAGATTTTTCTTTAGCATCCTCACCAGAAAGAAGAGTCTTAACGCACTGCTTCTTAGCCTTGCGCTGTGATGCACTGTCCTGCTGAGATGGCTTTGGGGATGGCTGTTGCCTGTGCTGGTTACTGGGAAATGTTCAATGCTACTTCTATGTCTGCTTCCATACAGAACAGTCGGGGTGGAGTAACCCTTCATGCCTTCCATTATCAAACTGTAGTGTAATCATGACCTCTCGGTGAAGACTGTAAAAGGAAGAGAGCCATTTCATTTTTCATTCCATTTGGGGCTTTGAGCACTTGTAGCCAAGATAAAGAATAGAGGATAGTTGTCTAATCCTCCCCCGAAACTATTAAACTAGGGCCAGAAAGTTCTCTCTTGTGACTCCAACCCACATGGCTCAGCATGCTTCTTAGACCATCCCATAAATCGTGTCAGCTAGGGTCTTTGCAGAAAGAATGCGTGCTCTGACCAGAGCAGCTGGACACTCAGCCACCAGCTGTACAAGTGTTGGGAATCACTGACTTCGCTTTTCTCCAGTGAAAACAGATTGAGGCTCAGCCCTAGGCTATCTGCAGGCAGTTGTTTCTGTTGGGGAGACACCAACTTCAGGAAAATACAGGGCAGAAGCACCTTTTCCCTGTCTCTCTGCATGCTCTTGTGTGATAGCGTTCTCAGGTCCCCCTCCAGTTTAGATATTTGTCATCTGCAAAATGGGCCAAATATTTGTATTAGGGCAAACTAAGGGATATCAAATTCATAACAACTCTGAAACTGGTTTATGAAGTGTTTGTAAAGGAAATGGAATGACAGGCTGAGGTGACATCTAGAACTAAGCAAGGTCGGGCTCCCCTTGGTTGTTGGCAGAGGTAAATCATAGCCTTCGGGAACTTTAATTCCTGGCCTGCTATCTGGCGTATAGGCATTTGTTTGCCAAGAAGTGGACCAGTGCCTCTAGAGCGTAGAATAGTTGTGTTTCTCCAGCTTGTGGACATGGAGTCTCCTCTGGCTCTCCATAGCTGAACTTGCCTTTGGAGTCCTCTGGCCTTGCTGTGTGCTTCCTTCAGCTCTTAGGCACCTGCTTCCCTAGCCATTCAGACCCTCTCTCCACGCCATACTCCCATCCCCTTTTACACCTCCGACCCTACCCCTTCTTTGCTTCTCTCGTCTTTTTGTTTAAATCAGTGAACCTAGCATATGTTACAGCTATTCCTTGCACAGCGTGAGCAAAGTTGAATTTCTATCCCAGGTTGCTTAATACTCTTGAATTTAGCAACCTAAACCAACCAGTGGTCTTTAATCTGTGCTTTTAGCAGCTGGTAACTTGGCCCCCTGAGTCATCACTGGGTACAGTCTGTACCAAGAGATTGTTTAGCAGCTAAATGCAAAAGGGATGTATCTTTTAAGCTGAACCTGAAAGAGGGGCCTTGGGATGTTTTTAAGGGTATTTGTATATGATTTCGGCTTGCGTTGTTTGTTGGGATTATTTAGCCTGCTTCATGAAATCTAGGGCTTTCCTGCCTGGTTTGAATTCAGCACTTTTCCAAGGAATGGAGGGTGACATCAGGAATAATCGTACCTGTTTGTCTTTGGAAGAGACTGGACTAGGATTCTGGCTCTATTCCCCACAAGACTCCTTGACTCCTACCTTCACGGTTTTCCTGCCTGGAATCTGCCCGAATGAACCAGAGATGGAAATTTAGCAGTCCTGACCTGGCAGGTGAAAGTCACTGCTTTCCTGGAGCCATTTGGCTCTGAGGTGTCTGTCAGCACACCGTGCTGTGGTGTTCAAGCTGGGTCCCAACCAAACCTTTCACCTCTCCCATCTTCGTTCCTTTTGAGATGTTTAGAAATATTTGATGTAGATGAATACAAAAATGTGGCCAGAGTGGGGCTGGAAGATTATCATTCTCTTTGCCTATTAATTAGGTATAATGTGAGGATGAAGTCACTAGGGGGAAGTACCTGTTCTTTTTAGTTCTCTCATCCTTTCCCCTGTTTTATCATTGAACACTGGTTGATCAACATGATCATGTAGGAATCATAAGAAAAGAAACATGTTTATTGCTCATGATCCATTGATTCTTTGATGATGCATCGAGTTCTCTTAGGACATTGAGGCTCTGTGGTTTGTGTGAACATAAAGCTAAATTGAACATCAAAGTCAGAGTTGCTACCCATGCTAAGACAAGGCTGCTGTGTATCAGTCTTGGATAATTCTTCACCTAGCTTCCTACAATAGCCAGGCTTTTCCTGAGGACCACAGGACAGCACCAAAGTTTAGTGGTCTGCAAATGTCAGCAAATCTTGGTAAAGCCTATTTCGTGTCTACATTTCTGTCAAACTGCTTAGGGTAAACCAGAAGAGCAGAGTTCTTGCTCTTCCTGAATTAACACTCTGCTAGGAAGGGTAGACAGTGGCACAGGGCAGACCCTGAATGGGACTCGCAGCTCATCAATGTGTTCAGTGTCAATGTTAATGGAATATATGGTCTCATGCATCAGATGGAAGTAGTGAGAAAAGTGTGGTAGAGCCAGTATGAACTAAGCAGGTGCTAGGGAAGCTCTCAGTAGATGGGGCAAGCAAGACCACATAATCCAGCCTAGATTAACACAGCCTACTGACAGGTGTGCCGGCACGGGAGTTACAGGGTTGGTGGAAGCACTTAGCCAACCTTTGAAACCAAGATACTTTAAACAAAAGCCCAGACTTCATTCTGGATATGGACAGTACAGATAAAACATTCATCTAGACACAAATCTTCTCCTTTCACCTGCATTAACTACAAGTGGACTGCAGTTCTAAATATAAGATGTTAAGCTACACACCTGAGAACCTGGATGGCCTCGACTGTGATGGTGACTTTTCCATTAGGACGTCAAAGAAAACATTATTACAACTCCCTTTAAACTAAAACCTACAAAAAATAAAGCTAAGAACACAAAGAAATAAATTACAGACTAGGAAAAAGAAATATTTACAAAACACATATCTGATAAAGGACCAGTATCCAAGACTCACAAAGATCCCATAAAACTTAAGGATAAGTAAACATCAAACACAGTTAAAATGTGGGCAAGAAATCTGAACAGATACCTCACCAATGGCGAATGTTCAGATAGCAAACAAGCAAATGAAAAAAATGTTTCCATCATATGTTATAAGGAGATAAAAACCAAAGAAAAGATACTGTGCAGTCATCAACAGAGCCAACATCTCAGAACAAATGATGTCAGTGAAGGTGGCAATGGTAGCAGCTTCTCCTCATTGCTGGTGTGAATTCAGAGTAGCACAGTCACTTGGGTGAACACTTGTGTGCCTTGCAAAGTTAATATACCTTACCATTTGACCAAAGTCAGGCTTCTTCTTGTTTCACCAAGTTAGTGGAAAACTTATAGACATAAAAACATCCACAGGGATTCTTAAGCAGTTTTAGTCATAATTGCCAAAGCTTGGAAGCAATGAGGATATCTGTCAGTAGATGTTAGTGGATAAACTGTGTAGTGTCTCTGCCCCATGGACTGTCACCATTCACCACTAAAATGATGTAAGCTGGAGCCTGAAATGGCTCCGTGGGTGAAGGTACTTACTCTCAGATCTGATGGTGTAAGTTCTAACCTAGGAACCCACAGAGTAGAAGCAGGGAACTGGCTCCAGAAGGTTGTTCTTACCTGCATATGCGCACACAAAGGCACACTAAATAAATAGATAAACGTTTTAAAAAATACAATCTCATGACCTGTGAAGCCACTGAGGAGCCTTAAATGCATATTGTTCAGCTGAAGAAACTAGTCTGGAAAGACTTCAACAGTGTGATTCCAGCTACATGGCTTACTGAAAAATGCAAAACTCTGGAGTATCTAATAAAGATTAGTGGTTGCCAAGGATGAGAGAGTAAAGATTCAGGGTCAAGACATTTTTCAGGACATTGAAACTATTTGATATAGCACCTTAGTGGTGAATACAAGATACCCCGTGTTTGTCAAAGTCAGTAAACCCTATAGGACACAAAGAGTGGATCCAAACAAACTAGAGGGTATAGTAATACTGAATCAGCATTGTTTCATCCATCAGAACAACATCCTACACCAAGATATTAATACCTGGAGAAACTTAGGGAGTAAGGGAGAGGGGAAGGCACATGGGCACTCTTGGGGTCTTTTTATAAGTCCCAGATTCTATAAAATACAAATCTATTAATATGTATCATTTGAAAGTGCAGATTCTCAGTTTCCTTTTGAAAGGAAGAAGACTGAGTGCATGGAACCCATGTTGAACCTAACAGGAGGAAGCTTCCAGCCTCTATAGTCCCAGAACTGCCCTGCTCCCCTCCCCTCCGCCTGTAGGCCTTTGAGAGAGTAAATGAGGGTTAGGATCTTTGCCGCCATCCTTAAAAGCTAAGTGCCCAGAATCTGGCTATCCTGCACCCTTGGTCAGGGGCCCCACAGAGAATGAATTGACAGAGAATTCAATTGGTAGAATTGACAGAGAATGACTTCCAAGCTCTGACCCAAATGCCTCACAGCTTCCTACATCACCCTCCTGGAACCCAGTGATTATGTACAGTTGTGGCTCTAACCCTGAGCATGATATCCTATCACAGAAAGAAGCCCAGTGTCTTAGCTAACGCTAACACCTGACCACCAGTCATCTGAATACAGCCACATGAATTAGTCTAGGCAAGATTGACAGCAAATCTGCTCATAGGTCTGTGATGAGTCATGTGACATGGTTTTTTTTTTTTTTTAAAAAACACGTTATGTTTAAGAGAGGTTTAGTAAACAGCAAAGTTAACTAACACAAGCCCTGTCGTTTTATGGCCTCAGAGTGTTGTGTGGAACTGAGCTACCTAGGTAAGA